ATTCCCCGGGTTTGAAATCGGGCACTGTTATATTTATCTGACACCAGGGTCCACCTACACTCCGTATTTTTATAGCCACACATTCAGCCGGCCACCCAGGCGCGTGTTAGAGCTCGTGTGCGTATCCGCAGTTATCACATATGAAAGCCTACCAGTTTGCACTGACTTGTAAACACACCAGTTTTGTGAAAGAGAAGGGGTGCAATGCACCTCTCTTGTACACTGAAAAGTAAAATTTGTTGACGGCTTAAATTTATGTGCTGAGGTAATTCGCGATGTTTTTGGTTACGTATTCACGATAAGGCAGTATTCACAAAATATGCACCTATCGCAACCCGTTTACACGCACGTTCTCGACACCAAGATCCATTCTAAAATGCATTATAAAATTATAAAAGACGTTCATCGACAAAACATATACACTTCAGTCAATGTAGCACAAAATATAAGCACTCATCCAGGCAATGAGAAACGCTTCCAAACTGGGTAAAAAATCGGTAGAGCATAGCCAGGGCAACATTTAACCAACAATTTAATAAAGAACATTATCCACAACCTTTCCCCAAACACGCTTAGGCACGTGCCATCCCGTCGAGAATGCTTCCCCACACGGTGTCGCCGCTTGTTCCAATGATCACACACTGCGAGCCTGCTGTACTTCTGTACTTTTTCTATTCAGGCTGCTGTGCCTCTGAACGGAAAGCGAGCTTTGCCTCTCAAGCGAGCGCCTCAATTCGAACGTGCGGCAAACGAGGCGTCTGTCACGGCAGTGGCACGCGCTGCGCAGGTTGATTGCAACCAGGGCAAAGATTGTAACAGCACTGCCAGCTGTGCGGGCTCTCCAGTGACCGTGCGGTTACACGTCTGCACGGATGTCGCGTACTCGGTGCTCGATGAACTCACCCAATACCCCCGGAGGGCACTGACAATGGTTGTTTTTTTTCGAAGGCCCGCCATTATTATGACCGATTAATGCTTTTTAAACGCATCACCTACGCGGTGCCCACAGCGATCTAGTAGGGTACATTCGGCAACATGAATGATTTTACTGTTGGGATTCTTTTATATCACAAGACAGTGATGTAATTGGACAACTAGAATCAGTGTGCACTTCTGCACAGTCGCATGAAGCGATGTCCAGTGAAAGGTTTCGTAAAAAATAACACTCTGATCATTTTACTTTCACCGCGGAGATGAGTCAGTCATCAGAACGGAACAACTCGGGGGTTTCTAATGCGCTGACACACTCCAAAGAGCTAGTTGGTACCTTGCTTTTGCTTTGACAATTGGTGGGTTCTCCCTCATCCGGTCGTATGCGAACCACTTACGCACTAATACAAGGGCTTCGCCCATGACTTTAACAACTGGTTCAATATTTTCTGCGTCTCCTACAAGTGCTCCGAAGTTATCCCGCACTTTGTCAGCTTTGTAGCACCAGCGAGATGATCACGTTCGTTTTTTATTGTGATGAACAAAATGACATCCGTGGACGAAGCCTGGTGCACGCTGCAGGTATCGGGGCCAGCGATACTGTCCGAATTGATGTTTTGTTTATTGTGAATGCCGCTGAGGGTTATCAAATAGCCATGGTCGTAGCCCGTCATGAAATTCCTGCGCTTCCAGCAACAAGCAATGAGAAATTAGTTTAATGTCTTCTATACCAGAACTAGTGGCATTAGCGCTACCTGGCCAACACCTATGGCTCGAATATGCTATCCGAGACATTTAAGATTGTCATATCCTTTAAATGATTCTAATGTCGCCCGTGCTCACTCGGATTATCAGGGAATTGTATGAAAAATGCGTCGAAAGCTGTTGGCACCCCATATACTCTTTTAAGACAAGCGCTATGGGCAGGGATGAGTTTATTCTCTAGTAACTTGATCCCTGCTATGAGAATTAACGAGATTTGTATGAGGTTGTTTAATGCAGCCAGATCTAAGAATCAGCCCTCCAGGCCATATCTCCTGCTTCTATGACAGCATCTCAGAGCCAGAACTGTCGTTGATGATATGCAAAACGCTGGCGTAAGAGCTGGTAAGCAGACCTTGTCAATATGAAGCGCCATGTCATCGCAATCACAAGCTCCACTGGTGTTTATTGATATCAAAGAGTATTTAGGTTCACGTTCCATAAGATGTCGTAGGAAAACGGACCGGCGCTACATTCGTATCACACAGAAGTCACGTGTTCCCGCTGGGGTCACTGTCAATACCTTGTCGGAAGTTTTCCTCCTGATGTGAGCAACGAATTCGCTGACCTGGTCTACCAGCCCATCTAACAGCATTGTTGTCGAACAGTCCCTTGCGGTGCCACGGATAACGCGGTGCTCGCTGCAAGGCCTTGCCGTCCCTATGTGTCACTAGATGTCTTCGCGGCGGTCGCATCGGCTGGCTGCACGCTCCCGGCGATCCAGTTGCCTGCACATGGCGTAGATGTGACGAAGGGCACAGTGTTGTGTTATGTGTTCCTTAGTAGCATCTGGCACAGAGGGAGCTGTCGAGTTGTGTATTAGATCTTCCGCTACGGAGCAAGCTTGTCAAACAGCGGTTTTCGGTTCCGTCAGCGCGATGACCAGTAACGCATCCCACTGTTCATCAGCTGAAAAGGAGTCAGGCCAGTGCTTCAGTCCGCCACGGCCAGATTCTGCAGAAGCCTATCAGTATCAATTAAGAGATAATTGCGCATACTGTTTCGCGCTTTTGCTGTTTTCTTGCCCGCTATTCTGCCGCGTTTTATGGTGGCCTGGTGAATGCCACTGCATTGGCTGGGCACGATATCCGTGTGTTGGATCTGGTTCAGAGAGCTGGTGATAACCATGTCCAGTGATGACTCATATCCACTGGGTAGCTGGAACGTTGGTGCAAACACAATCTAGGTCATTGGAAAAAAGTGTCCAACACTTGACGAAGTTGACACACGCACGCGATGCCTATCTGCCCTCGTGCAGCAAGTTACGGGTCAGGTCCCCATGATCGGTGTCAACTGCTACACTGTACAGTGTACAAGGGAGTGGCCCCATTTCCAGTGACCTTGCGAGACGGTCTGGTTTAAATGAGATAGAATGCTCCCTGCTCGATGCTGGTTCCCTGACTGATACAGGCTCTTTCATTGGCCATTGTTGACTCTCACCGTAAGTTTTCATGCATCTCTTTCTTGCCAGAGGGCCCGACCACCGCAAGAACCCCCCAGCGTTCGGGGTCCATCCCCGTCACTGTTAAGTTAATGTTCTCCTGCCCGCATCGGGACTGCTTGCCGACGCAGAGGACACAGTGTTAGACACAGTTGACACCTGACCGACACAGGGTCCCATCATTGTTTTAAAGCCCTGATCAACTTAAATCGCGCGCCGACTTGCATGGGAAAGGAGCCTTCAGGGCTCAGACCGACATCTAGTCGATCGTTCGGTGCTAGTGGGTGCTGGCAGAAAAAGAGGCCCGCGTTGTCCCATGGGGCTCCCAAACAGCGCAAGCGGCCATTTGACCAACATTTGAGGAACGGCTCCTCGGGCCGGGGCGCTTAATTTGACAGTCCTTCGGGCCCTCCAATTGACGCCTTGATCGTTGGTACCGCAGTCCTCTATGGGCCCAGTGGCGCAGCCAAGGGGAGGGTCTCAAGAGGCTAACACCCCACGAGACCCTCCGACCCATGAGTCCCCCTCCCCCGTCGGGTCCCAACGCAGCGTGTTACCACGACCCTACTAAATATAAATCTGGAAGCTAGTGGTCAGGAAAACTATGTTGATTTTAGATCTCATAGACGCCACCATGGACAGCGACATTTAGGGCTCATTAGGCTTAATTTGGTAAAAGTGCTAGAGGCTAGCCAAGGGAATATGTGCGGTATGCAGCCCCACAGTTATGGAAGGCGCCGGGATGCACTATCATTCATAGTTCATTAATACGCTTGATACTGCACCTACTAGCGTTTGTGGGATTGCTCGCAGTGAAAAGGTGCTGCCAACAGGCAGTATCTTCTGCGCAGCATCTTCTACGCAGCAAATTGCAACTTGCTGGTGAAAATTCCTACCCCATCATAAATCATAGCAGCGCCCCCTGTCGCATACCATGGTAACCATCCCCGTCGCAAGTTCCGGCTGCACCGCTTTTTGGGCCCCTCGAACGCTGCCCTTGACTAACTCGGGGCCCGTTTGCAAACACAGGGCTCCTGCAAGGCACCGTAGTCCGACCAAGTTAAGTCGCGGTTCAAGGCCTTGTCCCTGCTTGGGAAAAGGCTCTCAGACCCAGGCCGACGCCGGGCCGAATTTTCGGCGCTGGTGGTGCCTGACTGACATAGACGCCCTTATCGACTCAGGGGGACCACGATCGGCGCAGAGCCCTCATGCTGGCATTTGAAGGTCAGCCCGTGCGGGCCGTGTCCTCTTAAGACCTCTGATCAGCCCTTCGGGCCGTTTTATTGTCGGTGCTGAGACATAAGGGGAGGAAGGAAGTGCATGTGCTCCCCGTCCTGCGCCCCTGGCACCCACCAATACTAGAGCAAGCTTCCTCTTGTTAATCATAATTGGTGTTCGTTTCCACCGCCAGCTAAAAATCGTAGCAGCAGAGAGAATAAACAAAGCTAGGGCCGTCGTTTCACAAAATGAGTTGGGTGTGAACTATAAAAACGACTCAGCCTACCCCTCCCTCCAAAAAAATGCCAAAGAACAGGTTTCTCCCAACGTTATGTCAACATCTTTCTCAAAGTTGGGAGGCTAGAGTTGCAATCGAGGATAGAGCTGAAGCCCCTCCCTCAACTGAATAGGGAACTACACCTATGAACGAGCAATTAACTTTGCACATCCAGGGCCATAAGGCATGCGATGGTGTGGGAGGCTTAACTGTAAAGTTCCGGGGTCTCCCAGAACCAAAAATTCGTGCCGTCGTCGATAGAACTTTCTAACTTGATTTTAAGAAAACTGCTAATATTTCCCTCTCCGAGATGTAAATTTCACTTCTGGCGCAGCCGGGTGGGTTCATACATAAATGACGCACGTAGACACCGGCTCTGGGGACGGGTTGGTGCGTGGCGTGTGTAGTAATTTGGGGTTATTTCCTGGAGCTAGTGTTGACAATTGGGTACTGTTACGGTAAGTGCGAATCCTGCAATTGCGAAAACATTGGCATGCCTTGATGCTTGTCGGGCATTAATTCTGATGCTCCGTGCCTTTGGTCGGTATTCAGTTAATCGGCCGCCGGCTTAAAGTATCTTCAGTGATGTCCCATCTACATTTTCATTTACTACATTTTCCACCATGTTTTTTGAATGGTGTCTAACGTATAGATCAAATTCCGCTTTGTCCATATTTGTAGTGGATAGGTTGTAGCGTGGTAAGACAATGTGTCTGTATAAAGCCAGACACATCCATTAAGTTTGACCTTGTTTTCTGCTTTAAAGAAGACTTCAGGTACATTATGATCATGTGAAGTCAGGCAAAGCCCATAAGTCCATTCAAATTGGTGCGCAGCTGTTCCAGCATGCTACTCTGCGCACACTTGCACTTAATGTATTTCTCCTCATACCAGGTAGCCAAAAATACATGCTATGTTGAACAAATTAAGTGTGGCAGAGGCATCATGGAAAACATTTTGGCACATGGATATATGCTGTAAATCCAGACCCTTGCAGTTTGGTGCATGTTCACCCCAAGTTGAGTGCAGAGAGCCAATGTTTTCAGGATTAAGATGTAAAGGTAATTCCTGGTAAAAATGCTTAAAATTTTTTTCACAAAATTAATTGAATGTTTAGGAAACATGGCCAGTCCTTAGTTTGGTCACCAGAGCAAAAATTTTGGTTACTGATGTGAAGGTGTCCTATACAGTGGATGAATTGCTTGCAAGCTAGCTTTATGCATGGAATGATATTTTATGACAATCCAAAGAAGTCCAATCACTCCAAGTTATTAGCACACTGTCTGTGTGCTAAGCATTAAGCACCATTCCAAAATTAATCCAGACAGTTGTGCAGGATATAAGCATGCGTTCAGGCTTGCCAGAATAATGGCTTTGCAGCAGCCCCTGCACATAATTTTTTGAAGCTAATCTGTTGCCATTTGGCCCTGACCTAGACATCTGACCTGACCAGCCCACTTGTCAAGCCAAACACAAATGCCATTACATGAATTTTGGTGCAAGGTGCCAGCAGTCTGTTCTGATTGAACAAGATTTTGTTGATCAAACAGTATTTATAGCCCTACCTAACCTAGGTTTAAGTTTTAGCTTTACCTGCACATACATGCATGCCTACAAATCTACAGCTACACCTATAAACATAAATCTATACCCATATCTTTAACTGCAGACTATACCACACATGCACATTCACCTGTACCTATACCTATACCTACACCCCAATCTGCAAAAAATCTATCCATATCACTTGACACTTCTGAACATGGTGCACTCATCCAGCCAGGCATGCAATCTGATGAACTCAGGCTTGGCAAAATCATGAGATTTTGAAAAAAATTTATGCTTTAGAATATTTTAGCAACTATTTTTGCCTCCATTTACATTCAAAACCTTGCAATTTCCTTACATGCTGCCTCTTTGGGCACTGAAATAGGAAGTGATAGGGCAGCAATTTCAGAGTGCTCTGGTGTATATTGTTCATGTACAAAATTGTTGTTGCAGTTTTGCACACAGGACATGTTTAGGGCAACATGTATTTTTACTACCCTTCACCTTCACTTTATCACATACATACTTTATAGTGTGTAATGGGTTATGTTGATCTGTTTCAGAGTTTTCATGTATAGGACTTGTTAAATTGCAGATGCAGTGATTTGTCATAGCTGGTATCTAACCTAATACTGACCCTGCAGGTACAATCATGGCATTAAAAACATATGGAGACAAGCCAATCAGCTTCCAGCTGGAAGAGGGTGGAGAGTTTTATTGTATAGGCTCAGAAGTAAGTGTTACATTGCAGTTTGACCTGCCACCCCTCAAAATGTCTGTGTTGATAAACAGGTGCAACAGTCTCTGTCAAGACTGAATTTGTCAGTGTAACATGCATAATGTGACATCATGCAGTGTACTGCTTTTTCTGGATGTAAGGTGCGGGGGGTGATTTCATGGAAGTTGATATGTTTGTACTGTACTGCAGTCCTTTGCCATATCATTGGGAAAATGCATGGATGTGATACTAGAGCATAATAGAATTTGACTGGCTAGTGTAAGTTGTTGAGTATATTTTCACATTGACTGCTGTATGCTTTGCTGATCATTTTGTAATCACACTGCTTTTCAGGTTGGAAATTACCTGCGGCTCTTCCGCGGTTCTCTGTATAAGAAGTTCCCCGGTCTCTTCCGGAAGTACATAACGGTTGAAGAACGCAAGAAGCTTATGGACATGGGTTCGTAAATAGCTTCTTGCTCATTAGATACAGATGCCATTATAGTTACCTCACAATGTTCATTGCTTTATCGGAAGCCATAATCCCCAGACCATATTAAGTGCACTTGCCAAGAATACGGAGCTCTGTGTGGCCATTAGTCGCCGGTTGGTGACCAGCTGCGGTGATGAGCCTGCGGCCCGTTGGTGACCAGCTGTGGTGATGAGTCTGCGGCCCGTTGGTGACCAACTGGGGTGATGAGTCTGCGGCCCGTTGGTGACCAGCTGCGGTGATGGGCCGGCGGCCTGTTGGTGACCAGCTGCGGTGATGAGCCGACGGCTCGCTGCTGGCAGGGCTCAGTCAGCACATCCTGGCGTCGAGCGTGTCATTGCTGCGTGCCGCTGAGATCGAGGACCTCATCACCGGCAAGGACGACCGGTACCGCTCGGCGGCGCTGCAGAACGCCGTGCCCAGCGAGGTCATCGCCGTGCTGCCCAAGTGAGTGCACCGCCTTGTTGGAAGCCGGGGCGACGGCGGCCGACCCGGTCGGGCGGCCTGTCACGTCACGGACGCGGCGGTCTGTCATATCATGGACAAGCGGCTTGTCACGTCACGGACGCGGCAGTCTGTCACGTCACGGATGCAGCGGTCTTTCACGTCACGGACGCGGCGGTCTCACGTCACGGACGCAGTGGTCTGCCACGTCAAGACGCGGCGGCCCGTCACGTCACGGACGCGACGGCGGGCGCGCACGTGAGCTGGCAGCGGAGCAGCCGCCGTTGTGGGCGGACGCTCCCAACCGGGCGCCGTGAGTGAATCTGTCGTGACAGCCGTATGGAAACGGGCCCATTGCAGCGGACCGGTCGCATCGTAACCAAGTGTCCTGTAATGGAACGCCGCCTAGTGGAAGTGCAGCTATGTGTCTCTTTTGTGTTCCCCGATTTGAAGGCTTGGACTTAACAGATACCCATTGAAAGAACTAGAAACCGAAAGGCCAATTTTGCTCAGAGAAGTGCCTGTCCGCAGCATCCCCTCCCTCCAGAATAGATTCAATCGAGCCCCGGTCCCGATGCGCGTTACACGTTAAGCATCCTTTGTGTTGTTCTTGCGTACGTTAACGGTGTTATTTAAGCACATGTCACCGCGAGTGTATTGCAATGCTGGCTGCTGCCGTCTGACCGCATTGGCGCAAGCCGAGCCGGTCACACTCCGCCTGTCACCGAGCCGGCACCCTGTCACCTGCCGCAGGGAAATCAAGACTCCGCGCAAGAGTGCTGTGCACGTGCCAGCTCAGCCCAACAGCTCGCACATGGACCCCGTGCCGCAGTCGACGCCCATCAACCGCAACCGCGTGGTCACCAAGCGCGTGCGCACCTTTCCCATGTGGTAGGTAGCGTAGCACCTACCCCACCCGCCGTCGGCCTGTCGGGGGAGATATCAGTCCGACCAGCTGCGGTTGGCATCGCTGTGTGAATCTCGTGGGAGGCCGTGGTGTCCTGTATAGACGGACCATGGTGAGTGTTAGTTTGCGCTCGTGGGTGGATAAACCAAGGCTATAGGTGTTGGCATGTCTGCGCAGAAATGTGTGTGAAATTGAGCACAACAAAAATAAATCTGTGTTTCTCTTGTTTATGAGAGTGGATGTTAACAATTTTTGACGAAATGAGCGGGAGCATTTCGAATCATTCATTGGATAATATTTTGGTAGTACTTCTCCACTTTGCTCACGGGTATTCCCTTTTATATACACATTGTTTTATCTGTTTAGCATGTTTGAGCGTTTTGAGATGCTAGTGTCATCAAGGCATCTTTATTGGTCTCGAAAATCGTCGCATTTTCAATTTCAATAAGTGGCTCGTGGCAGCCCCGCTGAATGTACTTTTTACGCGCGGTTGTATGACTAAGGCTGTTATAATATCTGTGGAAGTTGGACGCGCTTTGCTCGTGTTGCTCACAAGTAGCCGTGTGCCGACCAGGCCGCATTGCGTGCTGACCCGGCTGCACTGCGTGCTGACCTGGCCGCACTTCGCACTGATCCGGCCGCACCGCGTGCTGACCTGGCCGCACTTCGCACTGATCCGGCCGCACCGCGTGCTGACCTGGCTGCACTGCGCACTGATCCGGCCGCACCGCGTGCTGACCCGGCCGCAGTGCGCGCTGACCCGGCCGCACTGTACGCTGACCCGGCCGCCCCGCGTGCTGACCCGGCCGCACCGCGTGCTGACCCGGCCGCACTGCGCGCTGACCCGGCCGCACTGCGCGCTGACCCGGCCGCACCGCGTGCTGACCCGGCCGCTGTCGTTCCGAGCGCTGATCGGCGCCGTCTGCCCGGCAGCTTCGATGACACGGACCCGGAGCTGATCCAGGACAACGCCATGCAGGAGGAGCAGCTGGTGCCCATCCGGCTGGACATGGAGATCGAGGGCCAGCGGCTGCGCGACATGTTCACGTGGAACAAGAACGGTGAGATTCGCGGCTCGCCGCTGCGCCAGCCGGACTGCGAGGCGCCGCCCGGCCGGCGTCGGCATGCGATGGACGTGTGCGGTTATGTCTCGGAGCGACGGACACCGGGGCGAACATTCGAGGCACGTCATGAGCTGACACGAGGCAAGTGGCCCGATTACGATCACGATTATAGTGAGACCTGCCGCAGCCGCAGCGTCAATTGTGCAGTTTTAGCCTGCCTGCTGAATGGTTGTTTCCCGGACACTATGTTGCCTGTGTGCTTGGCGGGTCGGAGCACCCCCGGTCTTGACCTGCTTAAGTGGAAGCAGTGCCAGCGAGCCTGCACACGGCTCGGCCTATGACATCACCCGCCGCCTCGCCAGAGACGCTGATCACGCCCGAACAGTTCGCCGAGGTGCTCTGTGACGACCTGGACCTGAACCCGATGGTGTTCGTGCTGGCCGTGGCGCAGAGTATCCGCCACCAGCTGGACACGTACCCGACCGAAACCATCAGCGAGGAGGCCAGCGATCAGCGCGTGGTGATCAAGGTCAGGCTCTGGGACGGGCCAGCCGACGGGCGGGTGGCGGGCGCCGGCTGTCGGGCCGTCTCCGGCGTATTGGTAGTGTTCTGTGCCATGACGCCAGGCGGGTTCGCTCCGGACTAGTTGGGGGGAAATCGGCTGAACCTGTGGACGGGTCAGGACATCTTGGTTGTGTCATAGCTGTGTAATAATGACGATCATGATTGCGCTTTACGTTCCACTGACTGTCGGGCCGTTCTGGGACAGGATGCCTTCATGACGCACCAGGTGGGGTGCGGTAGTGGTGCGGCCAGAACCCGAACACAGGATCCGCACGTCCAGAGCCAAGGGTTCCATGGCTGTGATGAATGATGGTGAATCCTCCAGGTGATTCACAAGCTTGCAGTTGAAAGTAGGTGTAATTGTGCCGGGGCCAAACGCTTGTCGCAATTCGCTTGGCATTTACATACCTTGACTGACACCAGCTAGCGTGTGCGCTCTGCAAGAGCTAACCGGGCGTGGTACGGTTTCGTCGCAGCTGAACATCCACGTGGGCAACATATCGCTGGTGGACCAGTTCGAGTGGGACCTGGCCAACCCGGAGAACAGCCCCGAACAGTTCGCCCACAAGCTGTGCGCCGAGCTGGGCCTCGGCGGCGAGTTCGTCACTGCCATTTCGTACAGGTGCGAGCGTGCTGGAGGGCGTGCGCCGCCCATCCGTGCGGTGTGCCGTGTGAGGCCCGTGTGGGGCGACGGTGAGGCGTGGGATGACGTGTGCGTCGGGGAAGCCGCCTGACTCGACACTGTACTGTCGCTGCTGTCGTGAGCTGGAGCTGGCTGTCGCCGATACTGACTCTCGGTGCCTCCGCGCTGGCAGTATCCGCGGCCAGATCAGCTGGCACCAGAAGTTCGCCTTCAGCGAGCACAGCCTCACCACCATCGGCCAGCCGTTCCGGCAGCGGCACGAGGCTGACAACTGGGGGCCGTTCCTGGAGGCGCTCACCGACGCCGAGATGGAGAAGAAGATTCGGGACCAGGACAGGAACACCAGGTCAGTGTCGCTCGGAACCGGCGCGGTCGCTGCCGTCTGGTCCGTCCTGACGGTGCAGTGGTTTGGACGTGTTTCCGTGATCTTCACCCCGCCGTTGTGTGCGCCGTGTACGGTAGTCGCTGGGTGTTGACGCCGCGGTGCCGTCCCTGTTTGTTGCAGGAGGATGCGGCGCCTGGCCAACACCACGCCCGGGTGGTAGACCGGGAGCGCCGTAGCGTTTCGATGTCACGTGAATCCTCTGTCTTCGGGATTAGGGGGAGGGGATGTTAGGTTGGTAGACCTGCTTGATCGCAAGCAGTGAATCTCATTCGTCGTCTTTGTGAACTATCTTGCTCTGCTCTGATCCCTCGTGTCATTGATTGTTCATCATCTGATGTAAGTATGTGTTTTAAATACATTTTCATTCGTCCACATTTTATGTTGATGAGAACACCGTGTTCGTCTGCGGATCAGCACAACCGCTCACAATGTCCGACTCAAAGCAGCTGTGTGTCTCACCGGAACTGAACCATGATATCACCTGACCCATTAAGCTGCCGCCCTGCTGCTGAAAGATGAGCAGACTGCGAGCCCCCGGTGCGAAAGCCAATGCCCACCAGGTCGTTATTCGTTCTCACCGATCTGAATGTAATTGGAACCAAACGCCGAAATGTGAGCGAATGCAATTATTGGGCTACTGCTTACCCGGATCCAGGAACAAATCGCCCTCCGTTAATTTAAGTGGGCACTGAAAGTGATGGAGGGCAGCGTACCACGTGTAATTTAACAGAACTTCAAGTCGGGCAAACTGGCATGGTTCGTTAAGTTCTCCAGAAACCATGCTTGCAATGCTTCTAGTCGCAATAATCGCGTGCCAGACATGCCGGTATATCCCGGCGGTCTGAGGAGGCTCGAACCATTAAGATAATTGGCAACGTTCATCAGGTTAATTTTGCCAACATTCTACAGATAATTGATACCAAACGCCCAGGCGCGGATCGTTGGAATGCCAGCGGCCCTGCATCTGTGTGTGATGAACCGCAGGCGCCTTGAGCCAAACAAGTATGTCTATATGCATTTTGACCGGATTACGAGTGTCGTAAGCGCACGGCTTGTCATGTTCTTCTGTCCCTACAATACCCTCGGTCGCATTATCACTGTCTGGTGGGCCTACGCAAGCGATATGCGTTGAACTGGGCAGCCAACGCGCCCGGAAAGTGACAGGATTTACCACGCGGATTATGCACCAGTTTGGTTTGGCAAAGGCGTCAAAGGGGACGAAGAGAATAGTTCATTTTGTTTTACTGATATGAGATCACGGTATCTTGCTGGAGTTCTTAAGGTAACCACTGTTCCGCTCCGGATGGAAAAAGTGTCACTTTTAGTGGAGAGCGCCAGGTTGCATAATCGCACGCGAAGTGAATAATTGAGCCAGCATCCGTATTGTGCTTGGTTTTCCAAGCGTCGCAAACCTTGTTGGTGGATCCACGAGGAATATCCGGAGTTTAAAAGAACCTGTGTGCCGTGCTGCTAAACGGAGGTCGTGTCGGATGTTTGCGTATGGAGCGCGGCTCCAACAGATCGAAGCGGACTGACTCCAGTCGTCGGATCAGCGAGGCCTCGAGACAGCCGGGTCCCAGCGAATGGGAGCCGAGCCGGCACCGCGACCGCGACAGGATGCGAAATATCGACTCCCACAGCAGCTCATTGGGGGATGGGAGAAGGTGAGAAATCGTGGCTGCAGCGCCTGAGGTTATGCTGCGTGGAACTGGACACGTTGCTGTCGTGTTAGGCTTGCTAACAATAAAGTCTGCTCTTACTTCAGAACATAAAAACCGAGTGAATTGGGCCTCGCAATTAAAGGTAGGAGGGAATTGTCACATGAAGCCTTGGAATGCCCTGGCATGCGTAAACTCGCAATTCAAGGGCCTTCCAAATTGTAGATGCCTAAATGCATGCTTCGCAGCACAAACGCAGTTTTTACTGTCACATAGCATGGTTCAGACACGTAAACAAATAAACAAGTGGATATGCTTTACTCACATCTGAATCACGACATGCCCCCGCTTTTCACATTACAAGCCAGCCACCTCACCCATAACTTGCCGATACGCGACCTTGACTTTGTCTCGGAGGTCAGCTAACAGCTGGGCTGTGAGTAGGGGCAGCCGCACAGCGCCGTCGACTCCAGAGCCTCGGCGGCGAGCCGATGACCCGGCGCGGTCACACTCCATCGACCGGCCTGCTCCGCGCCGCCAGGAGGGGGCGCGTCACTCGAGTCCCTCCCAGACCAGACGACACAACCGGCAGGTGAGACGGCACGACCGCGGGCCCTCAGTGATGTCTGAAAGCCCTGCGGCCTGTCTTGGAGCGCGCACGCAGCCGTCTCGCGCTATGTGCTGGAATGCTATGGTTTCTCGCTTACGTGCCGTGCGTGGTGCTGCAGGACGCGGACCGCTACGAGAAGAGGAGTCGCGCTCGAGACGAACGCTCGGGGGGCGACTCCAGCCGATCCCACAGACCAGCCGGTCGCGAGCACAGAGAGGGCGAACAGGTACACAGCTGGCGGGGTGGGAGAATGGGGGGGGGGGGGGGGGACGGCCCGGCACGGATCACTGCTCACGTAGGAATGTAAAGAAAAAATGCGATTTTCTCTGATTGATGCCACATGACCTGGTTTTGCATCGCGGACATGAGGACGCGGATTCTCAGACACCAGTCAAAATTTATGGTGGACAGCATTACGGGGCATATCAGCAACGCGGAGCACAGACTCAGTTGCGTCGGGCACCGCGGGGGGATTTTTCTTAACAAGCGCTCGGGTGGGGGGTCAAATTGCCCCCCGAAGGCTTTTCCAGAATAATTTCCGAACGGCGTCCCTTAGCCGCTCCGAACTTTGCGTAGCTGTAGGGAACGGACTAGCGGATCGTTTGATGTGAGAAATTAGATATACCTTGAAAGGTCGTTGACCTATAGCCGGTCAACGTCAGGCCATGGCTGTCAGCGAAGGGCCTTTCTAGGGAATCGTTCAACGTGATGCAACAAATCAGTGTTAGACAAAGCCCTATATATATATATATATATATATATATATATATATATATATATATATATATATATATATATGTGTGTGTGTGTGTGTGTGTGTGTGTATATAAGTATATATATACACATATGCATATATAGGCCCCTGAGATAGCTTCTTAGGTAGTAAACCGCTCGAATTTAGAAACGCAACCAATTCTATTGACCCAAGGTCAAGTAAGAAGGTCAGAACGTGGTCAAATTTAACCTGCTTTTTATTTGAGAGCTTGGTTCTGTGAGGTGGTTTCTAGTGCTTATTTCGAACCTATTGAAGACAGCGACCGCAACAAACATGTTCCTTGGCCTTTTTAATCAGAGTAGTTCACTGACCTCAAATGACCCGGGTTAATACTTTGTTTTTAGGAACATACCGCTTAATGTATCCCCTGACGCTTATTCAACCAGCGATATAAGAGCAATCTATTAGATGTGTTGTTACATGGACCTTGTAAAGATCAGAAAAGGTCTCTGGCCTCACTGACCTTTTCCTTAGAGCAGGTATCTAGCTTCACGGTGGTTGCATAAGGAAGTTTGGGGCACTTAATGCACCAATCTGGAGTTTGGCCTTGTTTGCTCTTATTGTCCTCAACATCATGACCTAGGAACGTACAGGTTGGCCTAAATCTGTGAAAGGATATTCAGCCGGCCACCCGGGCGCTTGTTAATCCATGGCAAGTGCACGCGTCAAAGAGACCGATGATCACACATGCACGCACACAGACATACATCGTAAAGACATTGTGGTAGCCAACGCCAAAAATGAGCCGTGCGAGCTCTGGTGGGAGCCGTTGGCCGACTGGAGTTCATTCCTCCCATTACTTTTTATTTACCAGTGCAGAGAATGGTAATTCATTCAAAGCGCAAGTACTTTAAACCTGGGAGGAACGTGACAGCTTAGTATCCCAACTGGAGACGGTTTTCACTTTTGCGCTAGCCTCGCAGGTGAGCCCCGGACTTCACCAGTGCCCCTGTCTGATCATAGGAGTTTAAAGAGCACCAGCTTGGCGTGTACCAGAAGGCTCTGAAGGAGCAGATCGTGCAGTCAGACCACCTGATCAAGGCCATCTACCGCTTCTCGGACTGCATTGACATGACCGAGAAGGCCATGCGAAACCTGCATGACGTCATGGGCGACTACTGGGAGGACGACTGGCCCAGTTCAGAGAAGTACTACGTCACTCTACAGGTGAACTGGTCGCACAGTGGTGGACCGCGCTCAGATCGACGTGGTGCCAGACACCAGCCTCATGAAACAACTTGACAATCATTTGGAGCGATTTGAAGTTATACGCCTCGCGTTCAGCTGGATTTACTATTGTCAGTTTTTAACCGCCCGTGATATTTCTTATGCTCTCTTGGTGCGTTTTCTTCGCAAATTTACTTGCGATGAAGCATCGCCTTCTTTTTTTGTGGTTTGTAAGGTAAGGTTGCTGAATTGATATGAGGTATTTTTCTCCGATGGTGTGCGAATGATACAGTTTTTGTCTGAATCGGGTGCGCTATCGTAGTTATCCTAGATCACTTAGCGATATAAACGCGTGGGTTCATATTGATCCCCGGATTCGGTTGTAACAGCATGTCAAACCTCTAGGCTCGAAGCGTTTTGAATTTTGATGGCTTTTCTGAATGCAAACTCCACATGTCTACATGAACTGTGGAAATATGAAATCCAAACTTATTGTATGGAGGTCATTTAAAGGTAAATTAAAAACCTCAAATATTTACGTGATTTAGAAGCGATAAAATGACTGTATTTTGACTACGAATCACGAGATGCTCAATAGAGTAATGGATCGTCCTCGGTTCTTTTGAATATACTCGACTGATGTTTGATGCAAGTGAGTTAGAATTGCGCATGCTGAATCCTGAGTGATCATATGCCTACGCCATGTGACACATGCGAACTGTCATGGGCGAATCCAGCGGTGATAAAGTGATGGCGTCATGCACTGCCTGTTCACATGAACTATGCTGGCTACTTTCGAAGCAACGCAATTCTGTGATAGTGATTATCGAACGTTCTCGATGTTTGAATGCATGCAGATAACGTGTACGGGTTTAATAACGCATTATACAAAGCGATCACAGACAACAAATCATAAAGAGCGAATATTATGGGCATTGTTTCTTAGACCAAGCTAGGCAATGCCGCTCGGAAGCTGTGATGGGTAGTTGTTTTGAGCATAGTTTTCGGGTAACATAGCCGTTGTTTCCAACTGCCCTCATGTTATGTCGGCGCCTTAGATAGGTTCAAACAAATATGGCGTCATGCAGCCTGGATAGAGGAAGATAGGGGATATCTTTATCCCGTGTTTAAACCTATCCGAAGGCCAACGCTACTACGATCCATGCAGCATGTCAACATTACATGGATTGTGTCTAACGCTCAGTTGGGGTGGAGTCAGGTAACGTACAAATGGAGCATTGTGCATTCTGATAATTGATGCAGGTATGCCTGTCGTTGTGCTCGTGACAACATATTTTCGCAAGAGATCGTCGGTAAAGTGAAAAGGATTTAATCTAACCGACACATTGCTTAACATCCATTAATCCACCGCTGACTAAAGTAAGTGGCCAATATTTTATTGAAACCTCTCCATTCTTACAAACAAGGAAATCAACCGTTGTATTTTTACTAGTACCGAACTGACACTTGTTGCTCTCTCCGCCTTCTAATCCTTCCGAAGCCCAAGACGCACGTTTCCAAGCCAGTTTTTTGCATTTCTGTCACTGCATGGAGCATGTTTCGCTTGCTGTATGCAAAGCAAGTAGAGAAGAGTAGAATGGAAAGGTCAAACCAAAGGCATAGTCACCTCTAAAGCACCATGTTACAGCATGCATTTCCGATACAAAAAAAGACTTATTTGCAGCGCAAGACGCTTTGCATATTTGCTTGAATCCCGTAACCAATGTGGCGTGTGTCTGAAGTCCACTAAAACGCGACTATGTAAGTTGCTCTCTTATTCCACTCTTTCCCTTCTAAAGCACCACCGACATTAACTTATTGGGGTGTTTAACTTAAGAGGGGTGCTCACGTTCCTCCGGTCTGCGTGAGCCCTGAACGACAAAATCAGTCCTGTAGACTTCTAGGTCTTAGGTGGAGGGTCAGCTTAGTACAGGGGCAATGTCCATGCCCCCGCATAGCAGCCGAACAAAATTTACCGCATTAACGCAGGGTTCAAACCTAGGTACGTGTGACAGAAGTACCATCACTAAGGATTTGCACGAATATGCCGCCATATATACCACAACATAATGCTACGTTCACATCACGGTAATACTATGTTGACATCACGGTTCGTTATGTTCACATCACGTTTTGTTTGACCAGGATCAAGAAGAACTGTGGGACCGTTATGAACAGTCCATGAGAAAACTGCTGGATCCCATCAGGGAGTATGAAGATCAATTCGAGGGTGCCGAAGATAAAATCGAGGAATACCAATCAGTTCGTCGACAGTTTTCACAGGTATGAGTATATTGCGCAGCAAAGCAGCATTCCTCACTACCTGGTAAAAAGTCGGAGAAATCATGTTGCCAAGGAAGCACGTTTCCTTAGCAGTTGGCACCACATTTGACAGTGTCTCGACCACCATAACTTCAGTCCTTTTGTCAGCAGCAGGGAAAGTTCTAGACAGCTGCACCAGCTCTCTGACAGCTCTGACAGTTATGACATGGTCTAGCACTGTTGAGACAGCACTGTCCACCTGTGCCGATGCTGGCTGTGATCGGTTTGTGCGGGTTCTGATTAATTTCGATAATGTCTTGACTCATCGCACCGGGCTAGACGCTGCAGCTGTCCGTGCGGTGGATGCGGCTGTGCCCAGTTCTGTGTTCGCTGTCTCGTACATTTCCTGTCCGGTCGGGTGACCCCGCGACCCACGAGGCCAGGCATGCGCGGCGCTGGAGGACCTGCGTCACCGCCGCGCCGCCGGACACGACATCACGTTCGCCGAGTCGGACCGCGACCGCATCGGCAAGCGGTATGAAGAGCTGGTCTCCTTCCTCGGCCACGGCCTGCCCAAGATCATTGCCAGGTGGGTCGCCTCTGACGGTCCCACACCGCCGGCCGCTGGTGAGCTCACACCACCCGCCGCTGACGATCCCATACCGCCGGCCGCTGACGATCCCACACCGCTGGCCGCTGACGATCCTACACTGCCCGCCGCTAACAATCCTACACCGCCCGCCGCTGACGATCCCACAACGCCTGTCGCTGACGATCTCATACCGCCCTCCGTTGACTATCCTACGCCGCTCGCCGCTGACGATCTCACAACGCCTCCGCTAACGATCCTACACCGCCCTCCGCTGATGATCCCATACCGTCTGTCGCTGACGATCTTACGCCGTCCTCAGTTGGCGAGCCCACACCGCCGGTCGTTGCTCTGTGCGCCCTGACCACAGGGAGTGACGTCAGCCTTTGACCCTTCCGCAGCCGCATACCGTTCATGGAGAAACTCTTCTACCAGCTGAGCAACAACCTGCTGCAGTTTTGCCTGGAGACGTGCAAAGTGCAGTCCAAGTCGTGCCAGATCCTGTCGAAGCTGCGCAGTTATGACCTGGCTGTGACGCTGGTTGACGGGCGCAGTCGCACCACCATCCGCGCTCCGGCGAGAGAAGCGCCTGGCATTCTGCGAGGGAAACCCTCCGGCACCACGCACGGAGGTAAGGTACGTCCATTGCAGAATTGTGGTACCGCAGTCCATGAACGTGTACCTGGCGGAACTAACCAGTGGACACTTCTGAATTTAGGCAAACTCTGAGAGCTCATAATAACAAAGCCAATGGTCATTATAGCAGTCACTGTAGTTTTATCATCATTCCGGTATCATTTCATGCGGCTTCTCCGAGTTGATAAAGTGATAGCAGCTTCGCGATGGCGCCTCGGCTGCAGCTCAAGACAACCCTATCACCCGCCCCCGTGCACCTTCTACTTCGGCACATCTACATGTCTTCAATGGTGCGAACATGGTGGACGCTTGGGAGCTCTCCTCGCGCCAACCATGTGCACGTAGGCGCTGCTCAGCACCAGAGCTATCTCACTTGAGTGATGCGCACACGCCAGGCTCGGCCGGAAGACCAAGTCACCGGCCGGGTGGCGCTGGTTCATGTGGGAAAGCTGCACCTTCTGGAGGCACCACTCTCGGTAGAATGTCCAGTTGGTATTGGCGCGACTGGTGCAGGGCGCAGGACGTGAATCCCCGTTGGGGGAGTGGTGACCCAAGCGAGCAATGTCCCCGGAGCTCCTGCTAGGGTCGGAGCCGCCCGTCGTCGAGGACGTCTCCATCCGGCCGCTGTAGAACCTCCTGTCCGCTGGTATGGCAAACCCATCGCACGTGAAATGGGTGGACGTAGAATGGCCTCGGCACCGACGCGTCCCTAAACCCAAACCGCCCAATGTGAAATGACCTGTATGATGATGATGTCGTCATGTCCATGCGTGCACTCAGCAGCCCAAAGGACATATGTCGTATTTGTGATGTTTACGCTTTTTCTCGTCACCGGGGGGCACCTGGGATCTTGGCGCTGGTCTTGTAATGTACGCCACCTTTTTCCTGTAGGTTGTCGAACTTTGGAGCCCAAATATCTGTGGGATACCACTGAGCGTGTAGGTTAATTTAGGACCGTGTTCACCGCAGAGCGGGTATGTTATCGCTGCTGCGAAGCCTCGATCAGCCGTGCAGAGCGCCCACCTCTCCCGTACTTGATGACACCGGGTTCGCAATGTCGAATGATGTCATATGTGACGCTGGGGACACTTGCCGATAACCTCGCTATTTCAATCTTAGCTACGGTTATAATCAATTCGCCTTTTTATACGCGAGGTTTTCTTCAATGTGTTTTGTGATCAAAAGTTCTGCGATTTTGGTTGGAAAAGCTGGGCATTGTGAGTAACTCTTAAGACAGAACAGACAAACCGGCAGGGCGAATACTTAATGTTATGGACGAACCGTCCATCTCGATAGCTCAGGTGATACGAGCGCGTGCATTCCGGCTCACCCACCTATGGTGGGGTGAGTTCGGTACGCACCGGGCGCTCGTTATTTGCCCTTGACAGGTATGACCTGCGGCCGATGTTATCGACCATGTTAAAGTTCATGTGGCGCCAGAGGTCGGGGTGGACGGTGCCGAGTGTTGCGGCACGTAAAACTTTCACCTCCAAATTATGCCGTTGACCTGGAATTGCACGATCGGATCAGGAATCAGGCCTCAGGGCTCAAACAACAAGCACTGGCTAGCGTGAGCTCCGATCCCAGAAATCCACCCACTCAAAAGGCTCAGATTACACCCCACCCACCCCACGGAAAAAAACGCTTGGAAATGGCGGTTTGAAGTTCGTCCGAGTCATTGATGGCATCCGATATGGTTAAGCTGAGCGGGGCGTTTTGGATAAACACGCTTGTGACTGCTTGGTACTGTGCTTCACGGCCTGTTCTCAGCGTTGATAGACATGGGTGAGTCAAGCGGTAGTCAGTTTCTTTTCTCAAATGAGACGCTTGTTCACAACTTCTAACATTCTACGTTGATACACTTGTGTTTAATGTATATACAACTAGGTGTAGTTTGTGCTTGTCGAACATCTACGCTTGACAGACACGGAAGTCCAGGCGCCGCTAACTGCAGGAGCAGATCACCTGCAGCGCACCGCGCGCTGCTCCCCGGTTGACACAGGCCCCGGCGCCGTGCTCGGCAGGGTTCAAGTTCACCGAGTCGCCGGAAGTGACGCGCACGATCGAGCTAGTGCGGCTGGGGGACGCCGAGCTGCCGAACGAGGCTCTGCTGGAGGAGATCCTGGACGCGGGCGGCTCGGCATCTGGCCGGCGGGCCCCCACCCAGGCCCAGTCTGCTGCCTTCGGCCCGGTGACGCGTCCCAAGAGTCACTGGGGCAAGAAGTGACGCGGTCGCTCAGCGGTGGTGGCGGCCCCTGCGGTGTCTGGTGACCCAGCCGCCTGGCGCCCCGGGGGGAGGAGGGTCTTTCTCACAGCGGTGGGGGTCTCGTCTCGTCGCACAGGCCCCGTCTGTGTCGTGGGGTGTGACGCATCTAAGCGTCAAGACGAAAGCTCCCCAGCGCATGAACATGAAGTGGCCTGGTCTGAAGCCTGATAGAGCGTGTACAGCCCGGTGTAATAGGAAACACGGTCAATAACCAGCGGCCGTGAAAAAAGGTGTAGCGTTAGGCCCTTGTTTTGGGCTGGGACACTAACTCTGGTCAACCAGCTATCTTTGACAAAACAGAAAAGACCACGGATGCCCGTGACATCGTCATACACTGATGTGGAATGGAAATAAACGAATTATGCCTGCTCTCTTGCTTTTCGTGAGGGACGTATTCCACCTAACACGTTCACGCTGTCACGTGAGTGTGTTCCATGCAGAATAGCTTGGGTACTCTAGTGATATGTATGTGCATATATATAGTGATTGCGCTGTAGTGATCCAGCAGCTGGCACTGATGTTGATGTTCAGGGAGCGATGCACGACCAAGCGCGGGACAGCACTGACAATGCCGCACGGTGTTCGGAGCTCACCGTCTGGGGCTCCGGCTGCTGTCCCCGCCCGTTTATTGAACATATTAATGTCCAGGAGAATATTATGACTCAAGGCTGGTCCAGCTTAGCGCGTAACTACTGCCATGAGTATAACAACATGGCCAGTGCACTGTCCGGAAACAACACCAATGCAAATACAAGTAACAGTCAGCAGCTGAAGGCGTGCCAACCTTTTACCATATATGCTTGAATACCAGGAGAGGGGGGGGGGGGGGCGAAACATTCTTTTTTGAAATGCGATGTAGATCTAGTGAACAAAAAGTCTCACTCCTTTCAATAAAGGTATGACAACATTTTCACCCACCCTTCCTTGTCCGACGAATCAGGCGGGAAGCAAAATTGTGCGTGGGACTGGAATGACACTAGATGCTGGGCGCTGATATCATGGAGTAAAAGCAGTACGGTCTGCTTATGACCACTCTGAACAAAGGCCATCCACGCAAACCAGTTCGACGGATTTGCTAGAGCCGAGGTTTTTGACCCCGTGGTCATAAGCATCATTGAGGCTTTTCATCTTATTTTCTGTTTGGACCCTATGCCATTTTCCGTGCTGATCTGGACTAGAAGCGTCATCATTGGCGCAACCCATACTCATCAGAGCGTCTCATGGCCAGATGACCCTTTTTTGGTCCCTGGCGGCAGCAGCCGATCTTCATCGTGATGGGATTACCTCCACACCGGTCCCCAGTGACCACAGCTAGGTGGTCCTCCCCTGATGACCTCCTGTTTGAAATTATTTTAACAACCTGCTTTTGCACGCTGTTTTCACTGATCGCTTCGTTCCTGTTGACTTGTTTTCCATTTTGGAACATTATCCGTGTTGCATTTTATTTTCCGATTCGACCTGTATCGCTGCCGACGATTATCCACTTCGACTTTATGTCGTTTGACATAATCCAATTAGTCATTTTCCATTTTCGACTATTTCCAATTAAGTTTTATGCATTACGAACATTTTCATTCAACTTTTTCATTTCGACTGTTTTCATTTCTCTTCTTGCCCGAGAACACTTCCAGACAATCGTGAACGGAAGGGCTTTCAGAATATAGCATGGCGAGCATATCAAATTTTGCATTTTGTAATAAGATTATATTGCGGCCGTATGGTTGTAATAAGGCCCTTTTCAGGCACGATCCCACAAGATTTCGGATGTCTCCCGTTGGCGCTTTTCTGGATCTGCAACTATTTGCGGCGCCAAGGCACGCAGTAATGCTTCCCTTGGCGCCGCGTGCACAAAACCACCGCTCCTCAGGTCGGCGTCGCATTTTGCATTCGTTTATTTGAAGACGCGAGGCTCTTTTTCAATATACGTACCTCGCACTCTCCAAAAAGGTGATTCGCTCAATACAGGACGATCAGTGGCAGGTGATACCTGCCACTGACCGTCCTCGGACGTACGCTGTCGGTGTGAGGCCAGCTGACAGCATGATCGGACAGCAGTCGGTGGCCAACGACAACGGCGCCACCTTTACTAGGTGCAAACTGACACGTCATCAATCCCTCGTTACGGCCTCAGTCTTGGCACCAAAGGAGGTTTCCAGGCATTCTTGTCTCATCCGGGACTGTTTTCGGGGTTGTGGGCGATGCAGTCCCATGACGTTATTTTCTGTAAAGCTGGTAAATAGCTGAAGCCCCCAAAGTTTCGCTCAACGTCAAATATCTGCCATTGGTATCTGAAAATATCTGCAATTTCACTGGCGATATATTCGTTGATCACATTCCATGTGAAATCATGGATACCACGCCACTGTTCAATGCTATGCAATCAGCTTCACGGGTGTGGTGAACACGCGGGTACCCTCATGGAATGGGTAGCGGGTCGGGTTGGATGCATATTTACGACATGTTACGACTTGTTTACACAATTTCGTGCACATGCATCACGAAATGTTACACAGTGGTGCTGTTTGCTCTTCTCTTATTCGTAATTAGAGTCATTCACCATCTCTTGTAATCATCAACGCAATAAGATCAATTTGGGCACAAGCTTTCTGAGAGTTTTCCATATTTTGAAATTAATGCGTTGACAGCATGTAAACGACTGGTTAACAGGTGAGTGGAAATGATTAGGAATGGGTAGCGGGTCTCTATGGGCGCAGCCTCCCACTCCCCACCCCCCAGGGGTAACGGGTGGATTGGCTGCAGGGATGCTTACCAGTGAAGGCCTCTACGGATAGGCGTCCGCTCTCCGTGACATTTCGTAGAATAACTTCAGAACGAGTTGTACTACTATCCCCCGACCGCTTCTGCACCTTATCACCAAATTCAACAAGTCGCACAATGCAGGGTGAGGTCCTCCCAGGTTAATGACCTACAGGTTTATGCAGGCGACGTCGAAATAAACAGTTGTGGGACATGTGCATTAGTTAGCACTGCCCTGAAATGTCTTTGAGCTCTTCTCCGACTAACGCTTTTTACACAACGTTTCCAGTGCCTGATCTGTAATAATTTCATTGTAAGCTATTAACTAGCCTGGCTGCATAATGCGTGGATTTTTCATGCTATACTAAACAGCGTCGTTCTTTTACCTGCGGGTGACATCTATTCGAACGGTCACCATGGGTCACCTCTACAGGCTGACCTATTCCTCTGTAGTTTTATAATAATCGCCACACTGACACAATTTGTCTGTTTTCCTCGTCTTTAGGCTTGATAATGCTGTTCGCTCATCTGCAAATGAGTTCGGTCACGCAAGCTTATCATAGATTCCTGGCATGCGTTGATCTAAAAACCCTGCTGGCTTACCAACTGGTTGACCTACGTCAAACACCGGCACTAGTAGTACATGATAATGGTCTCAACACAGTATTGCAGCTTGGTAGATGACTTAGTTAAATGTAATGAAGATCAATGCTTTGATTGATTGCATACAAGGTAGAGAAGCAATGACAAATGACCTGACAACAGAGTCGAAATATTAGCATATTTTTGTCGCACTACTGAAAGTCATTAGAAATGCGTCTCTCTCCACGCCTTCAACCGACATGTTATTATGAGAACGGCATTTTCAGTCTGCTGTCATTGGGGCTTTACGATGCGCTCAGCTGCTGAGGCTATATGGCGTCGCCTGCCTCTCACCCTGGCAGAAAGGGCGGGCACCGCGGGGAACCGAACTCCATACCTCTGGTTTCCCAGATGCACGTTTCCGAGGCATTTTCAGGCTGTTCAATTCAGAAACTGGTTTATTTCCTGCATTGATATAGAATAGCAAGTTGGGATCATATCATGTCATGATGAGGTCAGTCTAATCGTAGAGCTAAAGCCAAGAGGTGTAATGATGTATCAACTGTGTATCGGTCAGTCAACGCCTCGATACTTTTCGGTGTCATCACCAGGATATGAAATACCTTATTACACAATGAGGAAGCACGCCTACATTTAAGAAACATTGCTAGGGCACATCGCATGTAACGCTCATGGCAAGAAAGTTCGTGGACATCGTTTGCACTTAGTTTTAGGGCCTTGAGTTCGCACAACTGCGGACAACGAGCGATGCTCTGTATACCAGGCACGACCGTCCAGCGATTTGACTGTTAACTCACGTGGTCACGTGGCATCATCGGCTTGCACCTCGTGAAATTGTCTTTGCCCGTAATATTTTTTTTGCGTGGTGGGAAACATATCTTGTCATTTCTTTTCTAATAAAGAAATGACAGGATGAAACTCGAGCGCTATGTTATAGAGCATACGTTTCTTTACAAAAAGGCGTTCGGCTGTCTGTCCTGAATCGAATCGTTTGCGTAATACACCACGTCAAATCAGACCACGCAGATTCACGTCAATGCGCCTGTTACCAATACTATACACGTAATCACACTTAATCTGGAAGTAGTAGGCTTTTGCTCGTTATGAGGCTGATTCTTTTCTTCGCGGGACCTTTGAGTGCGGAGCGCGAAGGCCCAAGCCAGTTCAGCAGCGAAAGAAGTACTTTTGTACAGAAAAAAGTGTAACGACATAGGATTACCATCTTCACGATTCCCATTCTGTCACATACGTTAGCCAGGAAGCCGGCATCAATGTATCAAAGCTTATGTCTAAGCCTATCGTTAACTCCGTATCTGAGCCGGTATCAAATTATGAAACTCGTAGAGAAGCCACTGCTTCCATGGTACAAAGATATCGGAGATTGTCAGCAGCCACAGCAATGTCTCCGAACACAGCCAAGCCATATAATGGAATTTCGAATGCTTTGGTTGGGTACACTCTTGCGCTTATCCTGTAAGTATTAGAGATAAGCGGATAGGAAGTTAGCTGCAGTACGTTTCAGAATGACTACCACGTCATTAAGCATCCTTAACTTCGCTTTATTCATCACTTCATGTACTACCAAGGATTGAGTTGTGTACTTTTGTTTTTCTATATTTCGTGTTGCCTTTTTTGGAAAGCGAACGATATAAATTGAACAAATCTCGTAGGCCTACCACAAGTTGCTTACCCTTTTCTACTACTGATAATCGTATAAGTGAGTAATTGCATTGCTAGACCTTTTCAAGTTAACACATGAGCTTCCAAAATGTGTTGTCACTGCAGTCATTTATAGATATTGTTGTGCTGTGTGTGGAGTATCGTGCGTGAGCTCCAACCCGCGCAGCTTACATTGCAGAGTGCAGGAACATTCGGCAGGTCTGACCGTACAGGTAACATTCTTTCCAACCCAGAGTCCTCGCCAATCTGAGATCATTCATTTATGCGGTACATTTGCTTAAACATTGAAAGTTCTAGTGCAGTAGGGCGATGCAGTAGTT